CTGGAGGATAAGGGGTCGATATAGGCTCGATGGGCCGAGGAGTTACCAATGAATCTTGAACCAACTGCGGGTAGATTTTACTGTATGATACATGAATCGAGTTGAAGTAATTTTTGTTCCTTCTATTTTGATCTTGATCCTGCCTTTGATCTTGACTCTGATGCCCTTGGGGGAAGATAGCCATTGGAGGTTGATCTGTTGATTTGGCGATCAAAGGCTGAAGATGACATCTTGAAGGAGGGCCATGTGTTGGCAAGTGAGGAGATTCCTGATAGAATGGCTCTTGACTCGGAGTAACATCAGATGAACAGAGAGAATTATCTCCCTTTACTACATCAATGGGCATGGAGTGACCCTCTTTTCTCAATAAATCCTGCAAATTTTCTAGAACCCACTTCATTTGGCTCTTCAAAAGACTGATCTCCCCCTTTAAAGCTTTTTTTCCTCTCACTAGCTTGTCCACCATTTCTTGAGACATGGTTCTTCATTCTAAACGAGTGTTAGGAATCACCTTGCTAGTCATGGGCAAAGAACGAAATGCGTTTCTATTGGGAGAAAGATATGCAATGCATATGAGATGCAGATGTAATGCAATGATATGAAAATGCAAATAAAGCAAAGCTCAGGATCACAGGTTCAATCACAAACTTAGGTTAAGCATGATAGCGGGTAAGTAGCTGATATCTCTTATCAAAGGATCCCCACGGGTAGGATTTACACGGGTAGGTGCTTAGAGTCATGTACCTTCTCAAAAATATCATTGCCACGACAAAGGCTCATCTGACAATAACATCCTTGAAATTATCTCTTCTAGGTAAGGTTTTTGCTTCGTCCCACGAGAAAGGCTCCTCGTGAGTCTCTAGTACACAACCATCGAGTTCGAGGTTTCTAAGAGGTATCTCAGAGTCCTAGATCGAGGTTGAAAATATCATTGTCAGAATAACGATATGTTCAAGGGATTTTATCTGATTGGGGCTTTCGTGTCAACCCTCACGAGTTAAATGGAAGAAAGGTTAAACAAGAAATAACAACACAAGAAGAAAGAAAACAAGTGAGACTAACGCTCACGAATCGAGTCAAGTAAGGCTTGACTCTCTCTTGCATAGGGCAATGCATAATCCCCAGTGAAGTCGCCATCTGTCGTACCTCGAAAAAAGCACGATCCTTCACAACCAAGTGAAGTCCCAAAGAAGGATATGGAAATATCGAGAAAACCTTTAGGGAAATAACATGGTCATCGCAACCAAGTTCTAGGTTCGAGAGTCGGTTACATGAGGGGAAGGTATTAGCACCCCTTTCGTCCGTTGTACTCATCGAGAACCTCTTGATTCGATTCGTGAGAAATGTTAGGTTAAATTGTTTGTTTTCTTCTAAGGAAAAAAGTGAAAAGGTAAGGTAAAATGATTTAGATTGTTAAGGATAAATGGGTGGTTTTAGATTAGGGTGCTCGCCAAGGATTTGGGCCCTTGTGCCTACGTATTTTCACTTGTAAGAAGTGAAAAATCAGAGCGTCTGTAGTTCGTGAAACTACGGAAGAAAAAGAGAGGAGGTTGCTCGCTAGGATCTCGCAATCCTATACCTACGTATTCACATTGACAAATGAGAAATCAGAGCGTCCGTAGTTTGGACTACGGATATTGGTTTGGTTTATCAAAAGATACTTAGTCGTATTCGACAGAAAATATTGCTTTACCCAAACGGGTGAGGAGAGGACACTTGCATCACTTGAATGAATTTCCATATATCAACACTCATAGAAAACACGCCACTTATCTCGACTCAAATAGGTTATAGACGAAGCAATATTTTGCGTCGTCTCGAGACACCATATCTCACGTTTATGAAAAGGTTTGACGGTTCGCACGGAGGTGAGAAGTTGAATTAATGTTGATGTGTTTTGATTGGATGACGATTACTTGAAACTTAAGAAAGGCTCATCGGGCCCAAGTAATCGGGAGAGTGGGTTAAAGACTTGACTCTCTCTCTCTCTCTCTCTCTCTCTCTCTCTCTCTCTCTCTCTCTCTCTCTCTCTCTCTCTCTCTCTCTCTCTCTCTCTCTCTCTCTCTCTCTCTCTCTCTCTCCATCTAGGTAAGTGGTTGTGTTTGGAAAGTGTTTTGAACAATGGAATATAGTTAAATTATTTTAAATCAGATGACGATTACTCAAAACTTAAGAAAGGCTTCTCGGGCCCAAGTAATCGAGAAAGTGAGTCGAAGATCCGATTCTCTCTCTTTTTCACCCTTAATTATGAAAGAGTTTTGATATAGCTATAATAAGTTACAAATGACGATTACTCGAAGCTTAAGAAAGGCTCCTCGGATCCAAGCAATCGGGAAAGTGAATCGAAGATCTGACTGTCTCTCTTTTTCGCCCTTAATTATAAAAGCGTTTTGATATAGCTAGAGTAAGTTACGAATGACGATTACTCGAAGCTTAAGAAAGGCTCCTCGGGCCCAAGTAATCAGGAGAGTGATTCATAGACTTGACCCTCTCTCTTTTTCATCTTAATGATTGAGAAAATAGATTTGATGTGAATCGGGTTATAAATCTTTTGGAGAAGACAATTGTTCGAGCGTAAGAAAGACTCCTCGGGCCCAAAAAATTGAGGAGAGAAATCGAAGAGTCCATTCCAACTCCCTTTTCATATTTTATTGAAATATAGTTTTAGGTATAATTAAGTTAATTGATTTGAATTTGAGAAAATGCTCGATATTAATCGAGTTTTAAAATTTTGCGAAAATGATTAAGGGTTTGAACTAATGGAAAGAGGTTCCTAATGGTATAAGGTAAGGTCGGTGGCGAGGCTAAAACGCTTAACTTACAAGTTGGGTATGGTTTATACCTTGTGGATTCGACTCAAATCATCATACAAGAAAATTTATAAATAAAATAAGTAAAGGAAAACAATTGAATTGAATTTTAATCGTGTGCACTAGCAAAGTGGGTTAGTCTTCTAAATGACCAACTAGAGATAATTGATCAAATAAGTCTCACTGTAAGAAAGTCCAGGAGTAAGATTTGAATGTTGTGTATGGTGACCAAGAGGTTGACGATGATTCTTAGAAAGCAATCGAATTACAAGTGGAAAATGGCTCGACGTGGATCGAGAGTTTATTTGAAAATGGTTTTAACATACACATGAGAAACAAAGATCAATACAACATTGTTACAGCATGAGCGTTAGATACAAGCAATGACATAGTCAAGATAAGATCAATCAAGTAAATCCAAGTCATAAATCCTTAAACTTAAAAGCCAAATAGATAAAGAAACTAATTAAAATCTAATTTATCAACAATAACAAAACCTAAACAATTAAATTCAAAATTCATTCAAAACTAATTAAGTAAATGTTTTTTTTGTTTGGAATTTTTAATTAATTAAAAACATATAAACTAAATAATCTAAATAACAATTAACAATTCTTAACATAAAATGTTAAATCTTAAATAAAACATAACTAGAAAAAAAATTTTTCAAATATTTACAACATATTAATAAATAATATATTATAATCTAAATTTATAAAAAAAATGAAGAAAATAATGGGGGTGCGCCTATATTAGAATAGGTGTGTGTGTATGAAAACAAGCATGGGCTTTGAAGCCCAGATGACCAAAGAAAATAGGTCAGACCCACTCTCAAGTGAAATGGATGGGGTTATCAACAAGTGAAATGGATGGGGTTATCAATAAAGTTGAATCATGTTTCAAAACAAAATAAAAGCGAGAAGAAAAAAATGAAGAAAGGCCAAACCTCCTTCGCCGCCTTCGTACTTTTCCAATATGTTTCTTGAACTCACTGTCAACCCTTCTCGTCAATCTTCCTCTCCTTCTTTCGGTTTTTGATTGTTGCTGTTGTTAGGGATTTGCGAGTTGTTGTGCGAGTTTCGTTTGCGATGTTGTTCGCTTTGTGGATTCGTTTGCATGCAGATTCGAAGGTTGTGATGAATCTGTTATCTTTATCAGCTTGAATTCGAATGTCAAAGTACAGACAGCTCAAAGTGGAGGTAAAGGTTGTTTGGGGGCATCAAGGTGTTGAAGGATTTTGGTTGTGTTATGTTTGTGAAAAAGAAAACAGAGGCGGTGGTTTCTACCGAGAATCAGCGGTGTGTGTGTGTGTGTGTGTGTTTAATGGTAGATTCGATGGTGTCTTCCAATCACCGCGAGGTATGGAAATTCGAAGGGCGTCGCCGAAGGCAAATGTTTGTTCTTTGGATTTAGGTGAGAAGAAGGGTTAACATGAAAGATCTTCAGTTGTAGTTTGATGCTGAATAAGCGATTCTGCTTGTTGTATGTGAACAGAGGGTGGTACGGCTGCGGACGGAGGTGATGTGCATCAGGTTTAAGGGATGAGAAGGGAACAGTTTGTTGAAGTGTGAACAGCTTGGTATGAAGTATGTGTGTTATGGAAAGTAAGTGGAGTGTTGGTTAATTTGCAGAGGGCGGTAATGTTGCTGGAATGGAAATTCATTTGAAGGAGATGAAAACATTTTCTTCTGGATTTTGAAAGAGATGCAATGGTATTTATTGTGGTTATGGAGGAAAGTTTGAAAGGAGTAAAATGTGTGTGTAGTGTGATTTGGTGATGAAGGTTCACATACACAAGGGTGTGTGTTGTTCAAATATGAAGCTCTTGATGTTTGAATGGAGGTTTACAAAGTGGTTTGTGATGTTGTGACAGTGAATATGAATATAGCAGTGGCTGTTGTCACAGTTTGTTCTTGAGAGTTAAGTGTTGAACATTGTTGTGTGGTTTATGTATGAAGAGTTTTTGAAGAGTTGTGAGTTAATGGTGTTTTTGAAGGTTGGGTTGTATGAGGACAGTGGTTGTAAATAATGGAGTAGCAGTAGGAAAATCGGTTGTTGAATGAAGGTGTTTTTGAAGGAAGACACAGTGGAAGGGTGTTATTTGTGGTGAAGACGTAACGAAGAACGGGTTTGGTTTTTTGATGATAAAGAAAAATGAAAGAAGTTCCTTGAAGAAAAAAAATCACCACGATGCTATTTTTGAGCCGTTTTTATGGTTCAAGTTTTGTGTAAGTTTGTGACTTGCAGAGATATTTTTCAATACTCAGAATTATTTTTCTTGTGAATTCCTCTTCTCCCGAGTAAACTTCCTCCTCCCTCTTTTTGTCTTCCTCCCCCCTCTTTTGTGTGTTTTCTCTTATGTATATGCAATGTGGTATTTTGTAGCAGGCTTTGTGTGTTGTGAATTTTGACGAAGTGTCACATTGTTTGCAATTGTCCTTTTGCAGGTGTAGTGGCTTGAAGTTATGTTGCGGTACGGGCAATAGTCCGTTTTTGTTTGCTATAGAGGTTTGTGGTAGCAGTAGGTTTATGTCGAGTGTATGTTGTGGAGCAGCAGCATGTTGGAGGCTGCAGGAAATGCGTACGGTTGAGCAGGTTTTTTGTGTGAAGGTTTTGTATGGGGTAGCAGATCATACCGTTGATGCAAGAATTGTGGCACGCAGGTCGTACCATTTTTGTGTATTCCTTTTGCAAATCAGGCTTTGTTGGAGATGGAAACTTGGTTAATTTATGTTTTCAATTAACAGTAGTAATCATGTTGAAGGTGGGCGATGGTTTGGATGTTTTGAACGTGTAGAGTCTTGTAGTAGCAACCTTTGGTGTTCTTTCTAGTTTTTTTTTTGTTTTTTGTTTTTTGCAATTTGTAAAACAAAAATGGACAATGGGCTTGTCTTGTAAAAAATTGACTTTTCTCTTTTTGTTGTAATTTTAACTATGTGGGCTTTTTTACAATTTATAACCTTGTTATTATTTGAATCTTGCAAAAAAAGTACATTTGAATCTTGAATTGGAATGAATTTGGCATTGTAACTTGGATCTTTAAGGGACTTCGAAACTTGAAATGAATTTAGAACTCAAACTTGATTATTTGGGCACACAAATTGAGTTTTTGGTTATGAGCTTGGCATGTTTTGAATAGAATGGAATCAAGTTTTCCATCTTGGAATTATGGGTTCCAATCACGATTAAGAAACCAATGCTCGAGACAAACCTATTCTCTCAAAGGTACTAAAACTTAAAAAACACAGGTGTTGAGCATCATATATCCTTTAAGTGTTGAACCTGAACAAATTAATACATAAAAGGACCTTTTCTAGCATCACACTAAACTTATGTTGAGGTAATGGACCTCCTTCTAAAAAGAAATCAAACACCAAGCTCGTCCAAATGATGCGTATCGCATTTTCCTTGATTTGTTCAAATCGAATTTACTCATGCCAAATCACGCCAGAAGAAACATTGAGCCCAATCCAAACACTTGTTTTGAAGCAATAATCCTATCTTGAAAATAATTTTCAACAACCTGAAATCTTTATTTCAAATCAAACCAGAAATGTATTGAAACCCTTAATTAACTCCTTGAGAAATAACAATGCATCACGATTCCATCTTGAAATGGTTTTGAATTTAATATCATGTTGGAATTCTCCTATAATATGAACATGAGCCACATAATCAGGACTTGCAAATGACTTGGAAAACTGACCAAATGCTTTGACTTTTGATGACTCTGTAACTTGAATCTCTCATATAAACTTTGATCTTGCACAAAACCTTGGTTTGAAAATGAATTGATGATCTTTAGACACAAATTGCTTGAAACTGACACTTCCTCCAAAATATGACACAGAAGACTTGATACATGAATTGTGCTTCCACCAAAACTCTAATTGAAAGTGAACTGAGTTATGATGTTTTTCAATCAAGAAACACTGACGAACTTGACTACACCTGACCACTTAATAAAGAAGCAAACCATTTGTCTGACCAAGATCAGCTTAAACTTCCACTGGACTTTAACCACCACTACATATACCCTTGACCTGATAACTTTGCCTAATCCTTGATTCGATCTTGTAATACCTGGGCTTAGGCAGCAAGAAACGAAAAGCAGAAAGACACGCATTTTCGTAGGCATAATGGTTAGATGACATGAATAATGGATATGATGACAGATGACGAAAATTCTATGAAATGTATTGCTGGCAATTCAGGGTCAAAATTAGGGTGTAACAGGAAGGAAGGTGTTAACTCGGTTCTTATATGGGTAAATAATTTGTCTAAATATCTTAGATACACATTTAAGACTAACTATGGGTATCAGATATGAGAATCCCTTACATCAAACCGAATTCCAATCACCATTAAGGATTAAATCAATCATACTTAACAATATTAATTGAGTATTCCATAAAAGGAGGCCAAAATCCTTATAAAAGGAGAAGATCAAAAGAGAGAGCAACATCCATAATTTTCACTGATATTATGCGTAACTCTTAATAGCTAGGCATCAATAAAGTTATCAATTAGTGTATCCATCGTGTACATTTGGCACCCACCGTATGGTTCGCTAAAAGTGACATAAGCCACACACTTCTATTCCAACAACAGTTCACCCTAGTTTCATGATGACAAGGGTTACCGCTAGTAACAACAACCATCACTATAGCGATGACAGAGTCATCATGGCGAAAATATTGACGACTATTGGGAAATTGCATTGTCATAATGAAACATTTCTGTGTAACATACGGGGCAGGTAGTAGCACCATATGCAACTTGAAATCATCGATCAATAGGATCTAGTGGACCCTTAGCCTTTATTGGTAGAGATATGGGATGTGCAGGTCCTGGATGATTTCAAGTCGCCCTCCTTGGAAATGTTTGATGGCAAAAGCGTTTCTCAAGAACACATCATTTTTATCAATACACTAATGTCATTGGAGCTACTGATTCCCTCAAATGCAAACTGATGGCGTGAACATTGAAGGAGGCATCCCTTTGTTGGAACATGAGCCTCCATAGGATCTATATTCTAAACTTTTAGACCCTGGTGAGGAAAATGATACACCAGTTTTCAGTTAGCAAACACAGAAAGGTATCCACCACTAACCTCTTTAATGTCCGTAAGAGGTACTCTGATTTATTTCGAGGGAACTTGGGTCGCTTCAACGATGAAATCATCAAGGTATCCCATTATAATCAAGATACGTTCGTAGGTATTTTCCATAATGATCTCAAGGAAGGACACTTAAATGAGTCTTTAGCGGATAAGCCAGTGTCCTTGATGGAGGAAATCATGGCCGAGGTGAAATGCTACATAAAAGGGTAAGAGAGGAATGCGGAAGACAACGAGGGATGCATGAGAGCGAGGAGTTGGAAAATAAGGGGTCGGCGGAAAAAGGAGATACCAGAATGTGATAGCGGTTCTTGATAGAGCAACCTTCAAACCCACCTAAAAGCCCTTGGAACGCTTCAATCTATTAAACACGGGGTGAATGCATATTCTTTAAGATGTTTACCATACAAAGGTTATCCCAAAGTCATACACTCTCAAAGGAGACATTATGGGAAACAATCCACATAAATGGTGTAAATATTATAGAATAAGAGGACACCATACCGATGATTTCCATCATTTGAAGCACAGTTTGAAAGATTAGTCTAAAGGGGTCGCCTACAAAAAAATGTGAGTTTAAAAAAATTATCGCAATTTACCCCTCTTGTGTTGAAAGTCGCTTGGATAACAAAATATTCTCTACTTAAAACACTTTTAGCATCTTAAGGCATAAACTTTTATTACACTTATCACCTTCTAGATTAGACTTATGGACAAAACCTTCCTGAATTTTCCTTTCGAGAAAAATAATAATTGTGGCGTAGGTGCTCTTGAAAGACAAGCTAGGCTTCTGTTTTCTTCAAGTTCAATTTCTTTATATTTATTCAAGTTATATTTCTTCGGATGAACCATTTGAATTAATCTATTGTGGTATTTTGGGACCTTAAAAGTTCCTTCTCTTTCCGATGCAAAAGATATTTTTTAACTATTATGGATAATTTTTCTCCTTTTACTTGGGTTTTTTCATGCATCATAAATATGAGATGGAAAATTTTCTAACCAATTTTTTCTCCTTTGTGATAACCCAATTCAATAATACTATAGGAAACATTCGGGTTGATAATGAATATGAGTTCTTCTTGTTAGAACACAGATTGGTGTTTAATTATATCTCTATGTTTTGATGATAACTCTAATGGAATTTTGTATTAAGAAAATATATACTCTAATTTTGTTCAAGTGTTTTGTGTTTCAGATATTAAAATAAATATCATTATGGAAGCAAAATGCATCTGAACAGCAAGTTACGCAAAGCTCTGAAGCATCAAATGCAAGCCATCAGAAGACTCTGAGCGCTGCCAGAAGAGAATCTGAAGCAAAAGCTGCAGAAGACTCTGAAGCAGAAGCTGCGGAAGCATCTGAAGCGTAGATGAAGATGTTGTATGAAGAGTTTAAAGCATTGTTTCAGAAGACTCTGAATGTACTTTATGCTGCAAGTACAGAGGCTCTGATAAACTGTTATGCTCTGATCAAATCACTCACGCTAAAGCACTATTGCTGCAACTCTGATTTCACTGAATCTGATATGAAGAACAAGAAGCACATCATAGGATCTGATGTTGTTTACGTTTGAAAAGATGTCAGCACATGAATAGACTTGGTACTATTCTCAACGTCCTCTCCAACGGAACTATTCCTTATTTGTGATAGACACAAGGATTCAGGCAAAAGGCATTTCCCTGAACATTCTACTTGTGAGAAAGGAAAAGTCATGCGAAGACAAAAGGCTACAGCTACTCTACTTGCACAGTCTTCAAGCATTGGACTCTTAGGACTATAAAAGGACGTCCTCAACATCTCTTCAAGGTTAACGAAATTGCTAACGAACTGATAACAAATCTTGACAAAATTATTCAACAACTCTCATACACTCATTCTTATTCAAAGCTGAATAGTTTTATTTTTTCTTAATCTTAAGTGTAAAAATCACAGTTTGTGATATAGCTTTTTAGAAGCATATTAAACACTTGTTTAGTTTACATTTATTTGTAAAGATTCCTTAAGAAGACCAAGTTGTGGTCAGTAGTTCTTGAGAAGACTAAGACAGTTGTTCTTAGTGTTTGACAGTGTAATCTGTTTGAATATAGTGGATTAAGTCCTTGAGGAGAAAGGAAAATCACTCTTGATAGGGTGGACTGGATTAGTTGAGTTCAACGAACCAGGATAAAAATCATTGTGTTTTTATTGCCATATTTATTTCTAAACCCTTATTCAACCCCCTCATTCTAAGTGTTTTCTCACCTTCAGTTGGCATCAGAGCTCCGGTTCTGTTAGTGCTATCACTTCACCATGAACAGAAAAGATCCAGTTGAGAAAACTCTTGATATATTTTGGTTGATACATTATGGCTGAAGCTTCAACATCCAACAACAACAGATATGAGGACAGAGATAGAATCAGCACTAAACTCCCTATGTTTGATGGGGAGAAGTTTGACTACTTAAAAGACAGGATTGAAAGTTTCTTTCTAGGATATGATGCTGACCTTTGGGATTTAGTCATTGATGGCTATGTTCACCGCACTGATGGGGATGGCAAAAAGATAGACAGAAAATCTATGACTGAAGCTCAGAAGAAAGAATTCATGAATCATCATAAAGCAAGAACC